TTCAGGCTTACACAGAGAAAGTTCTTTTATCTGCTATTAATCTTTAACTACATAAGCATGAATGAGATGAGTTGGTTCTAACAACTGTCCTCAACAGCAGGGATTGAAAATAATTGTGTGAGGTATTCACTTTGCATGTAGTCTAATGTGCACCTGCATTATGAATAATAACAGACGCTTGAGTTGCTGAAAATGATACCATATAGTTGCAACTGTTTACATTAATTAATGGTTAAGTTAAATGACATACCTTGATGAGTTTGCTCATAGTGGGTCTTTCCATTAAAGACGCCTTTACTATCCAATCTCTATTGCTATCCCCCACTACTCTCCTCACCCCTGGCTAGTAGGTTGGGAAAGATAGCGATGGTGGGGTTGGTGAGGGGTAAGATCTCCATAGCACCCTGTCTAGCTCGAGAGACCAGCCTGTCAAATGGATGGCTGGGACCCATGTAATCTCAGCAACCTCAGTCTGGGCCAGAGCCCAATGCTGGAACTATATGTTGAGGACCCCAGTTAAGTCCCAATCTGAGTCTGTGAGGGGGAAGGGGCTTGAGAATGGAGGTTGGGTTTAAGGGGCTTGGGAGGAGGTTAAAGATGATCTTTAGATGGTTCCTCTGATAGATCTAGGGTGCCCATTAAGGAGGTACTCACTCCCCACTCGTGACTTAATTCTGTGCCTATACCTTATGGTGTTTTTTATTTTTATTGTCAACTTTGGTTTGGATTAGACGCAAAATCCACCATAATTCTTGCACTGGCTAAGAGTATAATTGTTTGTGCACTCCATCTTTTTCACGTTTGTCCACATCTAGGTCTAACTAGATGATTGAAATCATAGATCTCTGCTTCCTACAAGGCTTACTCCATCCTCCCTGTTCTTTCCCAATGTAACTACGGCTTTCTCACTTCCGCATCGCCTTTCCAATTTTAATACTAGCTTCCTTCCCCTTCTCTCCACTACATGCTCCTGTTTGTTCTGTATGACCATTTTTACTTTTACCAATCCACAGCATCCCTCCAATGCCTTAGCTTTAAATCTTATATTAAAACAAGCTGCTATACTCGGTTACTGTATGAGTGATAACATGCAGAGGGATCAAGGGGTGCCCTGGAATTATTAAGGTTCCAATTCTGGTTTTTTTTGAAGAACTGATGCCACTTCTGTTGGTGAGTATTAGTTTGACATTATCTGATGTTAAGAAACTTATAACATTCTGTTTATCTCTTTAAATTTTAAAGTAATAAGTAGTATGTACCCTTAAATGAGATATGGTGGGATGTAGCCTGTCAGTCTTGATGTCTCAGTGCATGGAACAAATTAATCACTGAGACAGACAGAGCCCAGATTGCTTGACCTGGCTTGTGCTGAGGGAGCTGATCTCAGGCCACGTGGCATCAAAATCAACTCTGGCACCCTGAGGTTATGGTTGGGGGTGGGGCGTCGTATCAAACAGACTTTACAATATGCAAACCCCAGCTGAAAGGCCTGGTGCCCGCGTGGGCTAAGCAAAGGCAAATATGCCTGCATCCAGTGACACACTTGAGTAACAGTAACCTGTTCAAGCTACCAGAAATATGAAGCCATGTGCTAGCAGCAAGGAGTCAATGCACTCAGGGGTGTGGAGTGTTTACTGTAATACAACCATATCATGTTACATCTTTGCTTTCTTTTTCTGACTCTTTTTCCATCTCTGCATTCTTCATCAACAATCTGGAACACTTTTGTGAGTTTTATCAGTCTGCATGACCTGCTTTTAGTTATTAAACAATTAAAATGTAGCTGCCCATTGGCTATAATAAATATGTTCCTTCACTAGCTGCTGGGCATTGCTGCTGAATGGTATCAGTGTGCAGTCAATGTGGTAGTGATTGCTGTGATTTTGAAATGCTGAAATAAAAATTTAATTTTACTGTACTTGTTCATGGCACTGAGGCAAGTTATCCACCATAGCTTCAAGCTTTTTAATCAGTGATTTTCTTCAGCCATTTTTCTGTAACAATATATTGATAATTAAATGATGTTGTGATAACCAAGATTGCAGACTAAATATTTCAAGTGCAATTAGCTATTTAAAGAAATCATGTTCTAGTTAAATTTAGATTCCATTTTATTCACCACTGATTCAACAACACTATCTCAAGATGTGCTGTAGAATAGATTTGCTTATGTCTTGCTGCTTTATCTGTGCTCAGGTTCTTGTGCAAGCAGGATGAATTCTTGAAGAAACTCAGCAGGTCCTGACCTCACCTGTGGAGAGATAAACAGGGTTAACATTTTGAGTCCAGTGACTCAGGTCTTTTTCCCTGGGTAGGGGAGTCCAAAACTGTAGGGTGTCGGCTTAATGTGAGAGGGGAAAGATTCAAAACGGACATGAGGGGTAACTTTTCACACAGAGAGTGGTGCACATATGGAACAAGCAGCTAGAGGAGGTGGCAGAGGCAGGTACAATTACAACATTTAAAAGGCTTCTGGATGGGTATATGAATAGAAGGGTTTAGATGCTGGCACATGGGACTAGGTCAGATTGGGATATGGGGTCAGCACAGAACAAGTTGTTTCCATGCTGTATAACTATATGACTCTTTGACCCTTCTTCAGAACTGGACTTGAAATGTTAACTCTGCTTTCTGTCTATACATGCTGCAGACATGCTGAGTTTCTCCAGCAATTTGTGTTTTTGTTTCAGATTTCCAGCATCTGCATTGTTTTATTTTATATTAGGATAAATTCTTCTCCATTTCTGCCGGAAACTGGCAATTTCACTCAGAGCTGTCACAGTTTTACAATTGCTGCCAAACCAGTGTTTGATTAGTTTAAGGTTTTGGGTTAGTCAGTGTCTCTCAGTAAGATTACCCCTTACAGTAAGATAATTGTACTTAAATAAATTTCTTGGCTGAGGTTGTAATGCCTCGAATATGTCGGTTATCTCCTGTCACTTGCCTCACATCTGTTTTTAAAGCGAAGGTGTCCCTTTTAATTTGCTCATCCAAACTACAAAATATTGACTCTTTATAATGTACAATCATCCCTACAAGTGGCATAATTACTACAATAGACTAACTAGTTGTAGTGCAGCTTTGAAGGGGAAGGGTATTCTGTTGAGCTATTGCTAAGTGCAAGATTGGCAGAAAGTGGATACAGCAAGGGTGAACCAAGCTTGAGAGAGATTTGGAGTATGGAGGAAATTTACTCAAGTAATAACACATGCGGGGGACTTAGGTTTTGTGGAGACGGATTTATTTGGCACAAAAAGATTAAGGGGAGATTTAATTGAGATTTTCAAATTGGCTCAGATGTAATGAGCCAAATGGCTGTAAGATTTTATTATAAATTTCAGCTTTATTAAAATTGCAAAGAATTTATGATGCAAGAACAGACCATTCAGTCCAATTGGTTTGTGTCAGTATTTATGCTCCACATTAGCATCCTCCCATTTTACTTCACCTCATTCAGCGATCTTTTGATTCATCAAAAAATTAACATTTGTTCTTGGGCTGTGCATATTAATGGCAAGTTTGTAATTACCGCTATATTTCAATGTTAAGTCATTGCATTACAGCATTTAACTCATTTTAGAATTTTGTCTTCACCACCTTTTTTGGAATATATTTCCAGAAATAGATCAGTTTTAGCATGAAGAGCTTTCAATAATTGTTTTCAAGCTAACCACTGAGCATGCTGGGCTTTTGTTGTTAGTAGCCACTAAATAGCCTGAAAGCTATTATTAAAATATTTTCTTTGTTTTATTTTTGTTTTGCTTTTCTTCACCTCTTAGCCGGTTAACTGGACACTAAAAAGGTGATGAAGTCAATATTGATCAGGGTCCAAGGTCAGACGAAGAGCAGAATAAGACAAAATCAGTTGAGGATTCTAATGATCAGATAACAGGCGCTGTGCTCAAGCATCCCCATAAACCACATAGAAAAAAGGTGCAACGTCCTGAGGTATGACACTGGACATGCTTCATGTAGTTACCTCATGAGTGGGTTAATAGTGAACCATGTAGTCAATCAAAGGCCATCTTTCAAGTAATAGTAGGAACTGCAGATGCTGGAGAATCTGAGATAACAAGGTGTAGAGCTGA